TTAGCATGTACGCGGAGGATGAGAATGCATCACAGCAAAATCTTCCCTAGCAAAAGCAGAAATCCCTTCTAAAGTCAGGATGAAAGCTTGCTGGTAAATCAATATTACAACACAAAAACATTCTGAAAATAATCATATGGGTGTATTTCATGCAATTGGTCCTTGGGCTGGTACGACTTGGTTGAAAGCAACTGAAATTATCTGAGCAGAAAGCAGGATAATGGGGAAATGCAGCCCTTTCTGACCTGTAAAAAGTATTCCAATGTTTTTCATTTGAGAGCCATGTGATCTGTTATATCTGTTAAGGCTGCATTTTAATTTCAACAAGCTGAAAACATAAATATTTTAAAATTCCCAACTACTTTAAAAATAACTATAATTAAATGTAGCCCTGCCACCAAGGACAAAGTAACAGTTGCACTACTATAAATATTAATGCTAAATTTACAGAGAATAAAATACATTTAAGTAACCTTATAAAATTTTGAAAAGCTGCACTTATAATAAGCGCTATTGTAAATCTGTGCCTATTGGTAACTGACTTGCAAAAAGTCTCTAACATGCTAAAAAAAGTCTGTAACACAGGACAAACTTTTGGAGCTGCTTGTGGGTCCTCCCGTATGGAAGAAGTCTGATCCCTCCTTTTCTTGTGAAGCGCTCAAACCCTGGCAGACTTCTGACTCAAATATGAGGAGGCTAAAACAGAGATCTCACTGGTTTTCCAGCCTCTGCTTTGTGACACAAAATGCAACCACCATGTAGCTCTACACGGATTTGTTTAGCACAACGTTCTATTATTGCCATGGCAATGAAGTGTTAGGCTTTTTATATGGTTTTCCACTGGGTGATGATTATTATTTTCCACATTTTATTTGTGCTTGGAGCATACATTTTTGTAAATGAAACACAGTTACTTCTTAGACTGTAAGATTAGAGTTAGTACTTGCATATTTAATTTTCTTTAGAACTGCCATCTACTTGGTAACAGGCCTCCAGCCCAATTAGAAAGTGAACTGCAAGGTAATGTGATTTGGACACCTGTATATTCATTGTTATACCCGATTCTCACTGGAAAAGGTAGAAGATAGATGGAAGAAACTAAAGGGAAGGGAAAAACTTTGAAATTAAAATAGGATAAAAGCTTCTTTTACTTACATATTTTGACACACTTCCGTAATTTACAAGTGCAGAAAGAATTTCTGCCTGACAGAAGGATGATGTGAGTATGAACTGAAGGATCTGTTCCTGCAGTCTGCCTCAAGTAAACTGAGACACTGTAGATACAAACCTCTGCCAGAGAGAAGAGCAACTCTAATTTGAATTATTCCAGCATACATATTCAGAGCACCAGAAAACACTGTCTGTGGCTGCAGTTGAGATTTTCTCTTTATTTGGCTGATCACCATGTCTGACCTTCTTGCTGCATCCATACTGCTTTTACTACTTGCTGCCAAGAACCCGGTGGGCTTCCACTGCACTCGCTTTTCTCCCCATCCTTCACTCCATATAGACAGGTCAGGCATATTTGGGTATCCCACATCCCACGTCATCCTGCTGGGGTGATCTGTCAGCATCTGTGGCCATGCTCACAGCTTGCTGTGTGTAACCCTAAATCTACAGAAGTGCCAGACTTCAGAGAGCAGTTCATAAGGAGATAAGGGTTTTGTGGACCTCAATAGAGATCAACTGAAAGATGCATGAATTTTGGATGCTTAGATAGTCAGTCACTTTTACCACATCTTATCTGTTAAAAAAAATAATAGCTTGGTGGCTACTGTGACCTCTGAAGGGAGCTTTATGTTTTTTAAGAAAGCTCTCCAGTCTACTGTCGGCTCCTTGCAAAGGTTAAGGTTCCTGAGAAGGTTCCTGATCTGCTTGTGTGATAATTTAAAGCAGAAATAGTCAAGCACTTGCTGAAATTCTAGTGTTTTAATTGTCTCCTTTATCAACTAGAGAAAATGCCCGAGAAGGAAGAATTCAAAGTATTTAAGCAAGTGTAGACAGTTCACAAGAGAAGTCTGTTTTCATATCCATTTAGCAGTTCCTATGGAAATGAGATCCACATGCCTTTCCTTACGGGTGTTTTAGACACGAAGAAACAAAAAACATTTTCCAGAACCTTACTTAGTTTGAAGTTTTCCATTCTTCCAAAAATGAAAAGCAATTGTTGAAATAATCCAAAAATAGCCTGCATTTCTGTGCCACAAGTATAAATATGCAAATAAACAACAACCTGCAGTAAAAACAACAAGGAAACATACAAAGCATCCAGACATTCCAGAACAGGCAGTGCTGAAGACAAGAGAGAAAGCGAACAAAAATATTTGAGGTCTGCCTAATATATTTTTAATTAGAAATACTTCTAATGAAATCCGCCTGAGCATATTTGATCTGCCTTTTGTTCCCAAAAAGATTTCCTAGTACAGCAAATTTATTTTCCTCTGCCTACTCCCTAAAGGACTCAGCAGTCCTTACTTCTCATTAGTGTCAGCTCATCCTGAAGACTTGTTTGCTCATTTTTCCTTACATGCAGTGCCCAGCCTGTTCCTTGTGGAATATTTCCCCATGTTTCCCTGGGCAAGTAGGCTAGATCCTGCACAGCTGCAGCAGGTGACATACAAGAGAGTAGTACAGATGAGAGGCCAAAGTGTTGAGGTCTGGACAAGTTGTGGGTCATACCCGCTCCCAGGCTGCCTGGACGCTACCAACGTAACCATGCCCCTTCATTCTGTTCTGTCCCTCATTAGTGATACTGCACGTGTGCACCACTCATTCAAAAAAGTGTAGAGGATAGCACCTTTCAAAACTTCATATTAATGTCATACTACTCGGCTAACAAGGTCTTGTTAGTGTAATATAGCAAGTTTTGGTTTAGCATTAGAACTGTTCTAAATAATGTGTTTAAAACTGTATATTTTAATGTACATGAAGCGTGCCAAGCAGTAAAGCAAACATCGCTGTATCCAAAGGACATTGGATCCAAAGGAATCCTTTGAACACTAGAAAACCTTAAACTACTTGTTGTAAGACTTCAGAGACTTGTATTCAGGTGTAGAAATGTCATGGATGGGATGTTCTCTCTTCTCAACTAGCTGGACTCCAGGAAATGTGCTTTCAGATCTGCTATTTCTAATGAAAAACTTTCTTCCACTCTTCTGTTGTTAGAGACCCCCATCATGTAAGAGAGAGGGACTTTTACTCAAAAAAACGGCTCAGAAACAAAGGCATAATTTACTTATTCTTTCATATAAAGGGAATGAGAAAAAGTTTTGCTTTTCTACAACAGTCTGGCTCTCCATGGAGAAAATGAGTCAATCTTTGCAGTCAGGATAACACCAAATGATATCCTGAAAAATCGAATGAATTATTTGTTTGTACCAAAAAACAATTTTCATCTCATACCTTCAGTAGACAAAACTGTGACTTTCCCTATTCCCAAAGCACCTAGGGCTGACAGTACAAATACTACTGTCCATTTTGAAGCCAGGTGTGTCCCATTAAAATATAACAAACACCAACTTGTGCTATTATATTTATCTGCTTCCTATTTTAATAATGCAGAGCACAGCAAGGATTTTTTTCCCTTACTGTGAAAAATGCAAAATAATCATGAATACTTCAGTGTCCTGTCCAGTGGTTAGTGGCCAAAAATGGCAAGACAGCCCCAGGAAGTTTACAGCATGATAGGTGTCTCCAAACGTCGTGAAAAGAGATTTCTGTAAAGAACTAGCATCTCTCATGGCTCCATGTTCTTTTCCAGTTGTAGCAGTGACATCATTAGTGATGTCTTTATTGCAAGCCTGTGTTGTGCTGTCTGCAGGACAGAGCCCAGAGATTGAGATTTCAAAGATGCAATGATTGATGAAAAGAAACTTCAACACCCATCACGTTCCCAGACACTGTTTCCTTCCACTCCCTTGTGCTGGCAGCAGCTTTCCCGTAGCCACACACAACTGCTCAGGCTTTTGTCAGGCTGAAGCTCTCAACCTGCATCACTGGGCAGGAACACAAGCACTGGCTTTGACACAAGGCCGGCTGGAGGACCATATTGCTGGGGATATAGGAGCAGTGAGACAGAAGCCTGCCCCTAAGACCATGAGCTTAAACTGGACCTGCAGCTGCAGGGGAGATGTCATGGCTTTACATTTCTTTGTGATAGGAATGTTTCCTTCAAGGTCTTTTTGATTATTCTGTTCCATGCTTGTAAACAATCTAACTGTGGCATCAAGAACTATTTACTCTCGAGGCTGCTGCATTTCAGTAGACTCCAACACAACAGTCTAAGTCTACTTAATAGCATTTTCTCATTCAGGGCTTTCAAAATTCTATAGAAAATGGGTTATTTTTATCATCCTCATTTTACAGATGGGAAAACCAGGAAGCTTGCTGCTTGACAGCTAATGTGCCTTATCTGTCTGTGTCAGAGCCAGGAGAGGCCAAGTGCATAAATGCAGATAGCTGCAGAAGCCCGGGTGACAGGTGCTAACTTCTGCAGCCACTATAATGTCTTCTCATCTGATCATATGTCTGCAGCTTCTGTTGCTATACGCTCTTTCATCTCACACTGATAAAGTCATAATGCCTGCCTGCAGTAGCACATTATATGTACCTACAGTAAGTTTCAGCTTAGGAAAATCAACAGAGATATTCAAAAGACTAAACATTCACAGGCCTCCATGCAGTTTACAAAAAACCAGAGGAGGCAAAGGGGGTCTGGGGAAGAGGGAGCTTCAGATAATTTGCTGTTTTTTTCTTTTTCCTTTCCAATACTTATCTTCACAAAACCGTGAGGCTCCATTTGATTTGTTTGTTCTGTGGAGTTACCAGAATGCAATCATCAATTAAAAAGTCTGCAGTTGTCTGAAGATGCTGCTCCTACAAAGGCCAAGGTTTTTGGTAACACTCAATTAATAGTAGAATAGTTCTGAAGCCTTTGGACTAGTCTCCAGCCAGGCAGAAAAAAGAGAATTAAAAAAACGCAATGACCACGTGAAACTTACCTTGTACAACAAATCACAAGATGATGCAACTATTTCTTTTATCTTAATTAGGGTCTGCTCTAAGCTGTGCGTTGCAAAGCTTGCAGGTGGTGTGGCTTGCTTTTGTCTCTGTTGGTATTTAGATGCTCTGCCATCATCAATTGCTCTCAGGAAATCAAAATAAGAGAGCTTGCTGTCATGAATGCTGATTCCTAGGCTAAGGGAAAAACACAGAATGAGATATCAATGATTTTAAGTAATTATCTCACTGTTGTCTGCACTGATTAATTATTATGATGTATTATGTGTACTGCAGCAGTGCTTCAGGATATGTCTGCGCTGTCAGTGTATGAATCCTGTTAGCTCCAGCTCAACCTCTTTCTCTAGTCTAAGCCACCAATCCTATCAATTAAATGCAACTGCGCTCCCAGTGAAGATTCCAACCTGTCTCCAGATGCTCGAGACCTGCTTTAGCCTGGGCCCAAGCACACAACCTTCCAGTCCATCAGCATTAATGAGGTGCTTTTGAAGCACAGCAGAGTATTTTGATCACAGTCTGTGACTGAGCTTGTCATCGCCGATGTGGCCAGAGGATGCAGGTCCTCAGCTGCAGCCTTGCGAAGCCTCATGATCAGTAAGGGATCCTGAGCAGACTACTTGTGGTCAGACAGTACCTAGGAGACCAGCCCAAGGGCTGTGCGGACTGCATGCACGACTTGCTGGATTTATGTCTGCTGAAACATCTGCTAGATCAGGGACACTGGGGATTTTCCTGTTCTGTCACATCAGAAACTGAGTGGGTTACACAGCTGACTACAGATAGCTCCAGGTAACAACACTGAATATATTTTTGCATCAAATACCACCATGGGAAAAGATGAGCTCTTGCATATGATTTTGGCTTTTTTTTTTTTTTAATTTGTTTTGTTTTGTTTTGTGTGTGTGTGTTTGTGTGCAGAGAACTTGAGTTACCAAACTAAATTAATTTTTATTCAACGGTGGATAGTTTCCTGTAAAAAGTCTAGATTTAAAGCAAGCTTCACACATGCAGATAGTACGTGAGAATAAGGGTTATTCAGCACAGAAGATTAAGATGAAATGAGTAGCATTAACCATAACATGAAAAGCTACTTTCCTGCAATGTCCTGTGACTCATGACCACTTAATGAAAAGACACCTGGTGTATTTGAAGCAAGTACTTCAAACCTGCCTAATGAGCCTGTAGAATTCATTACCACAAGGGATACAATAGCAGCAGCTTGCTTTACCCTTACCCAGTACAAATCCAGTGTAGTCAGCTTACAGAATTTTCTATCATTCAAAGACAACTAAAGTCTTCAGATTACAGTATACTTTGGGACTTTTTCATGTAGGTTCACTGGCTTCCACGAAATGGTTCCAGACTGACTTTAGAATAACCAGCAATGGAGAGGTCTTTTTTTAACAGACTTAAATCAAAACTGAAGATTATTTTCACACATGCATTAAGTAAGCAGCTCCTATGCTGCAAGGGAAAGGTTGGGAGATTTTAGTTTTGCATTATGCTTTTTTTGGTCAGAATAATGGTCAAGGCAGGTCCTAGAGAGCCAGGCCTTGACAGAGAAGATATCTCCACTAAGCAAGCCTGATTTTCTTGTGTAAAAATGAATTACTCTAACGTACTTTCATCATCTGCTTCCACAGTAAATCACCAGGGACCAATGCCTCAGCTACCAATCACTAGAATATCCAGTTACAAGAATGTCTAATTAATGGGGAGAGCCAGTAAAACAAAGAGGAAGCTTTATGAAACAGGCTGGAAAAGAAATTAACTATAGACCCCATATCTGCTACCAAGAAAAAAAAATATTCAAGAGCCCTGATTTTGCATCTTGCAGCTGCACAGCACTCCCACATAGTACCCATGTCAAGCTGGCTCCAATATTGGAGACAGTGTGTGGAAAAGGAAATAATCAACACCATTTCAGCTGAGAAATAAATTGCCAAGTGGGCATTAAAATTTTAGTAATAAAACTAAATGCATATGCTAATCTACTCTGTATTATTTAGAAAAGACTATTTTGGATCAAGAAAGGAATAATCTGCACAAAATTACAATGAATGGAGGTGTTTATCATCAAGAGGTCTTTGAGAAAGAAACAAGCAGCAGATTCCTATTAAGGTTTCAATTCATAAAAAGTTGATCACCCAATTAAAGGTGAACTGTAAAAAGACTTTGCTAACATTGTTTCAAAAAAAGAGTCTCATTTGACAGGCTGTAGACAAAACTGAGTGCTGCCAGGCCTCTGACCTCTGGGGGGCTGTTTGGGGCAGAGAAGCCCAACTATCCAATGATGGAACAGGTCCTTTGTGTTCCTCAGCCTCTACCAAGAGAATTTTCCACTCGTTTTAATATGCAGAATTAAAAGCTGCATGGCAGCAGTATTGGATCTTTTGAAAGTTACTGCTATTTTATGACCTGACTTATTTCTGGTTTTGTTTTGAACAGGGTCCCTTTCACCTGCTTGCTCTGTTACAGCGAAATAAATACATAAAACCAGCAAATAAATACGCAGATTCAAAGCACACTGTCTTTCTTTAAGCAGCCCTTTCACTCTCGTTACTTGCAGAGCCAGTACCCAACCTAAAAACATTTTTCACCCATATGCAGTTTTAAGCATGGGGCCCTCTCCATTAGCTTTGTCAGAGCTTCTAATGTGCTTAACGCTAAATACAAGCTTATGGGTGTGACCAAAGAGGTGCTCAGGAGACAATCATACAAATCTATTTAGAAGACTGCTGAACTGATCATGATCAGGGTGATGGTTGAATTCTTGTAGAAATCTCTGTGGGGCACATGCTGTTACATAGCCATCATTATTTTTATCCATTTTATGAAAGGCCTTCTTGAAATCTTGGAAGTAATCCCTAAATTTATCCCAGAAAAGGAACAGATGTTTAGTTTAGCTCATTTGTTGAATCAGATGGAAAGGATACAAAGAAATATACAAAATAGGGGTGAAGGGGCAGAGAAGGATTTTGATCTTATTCTTGGGTGGTAAGTTCATATGATTTATTCAAAGAGTGCCAAATTGTTCACAAATAAACCTCATCCCGCCCTCATCCCCATTTAATTCGTATGTGGAACCGTGTGGCTAAAGCCTCCCCCCTGCAAACAAATGCTACTTCAGTGATTAACGGGCTCTTCTTCTTATCCAGAACTGCAAATAGAAAATACACTCTTCTCTTTTAGAATTATAGAATGGCCTGGATTGAGAAGGTCCTCAAAGATCACCTAGCTTCAACCCCCAGCTGTGGGCAGCATTGCCAACCACTAAACCAGGCTGCCCAGAGCCACATCCAGCCTGGCCGTTAGAGCCTGTCCTGATCACTTACAAAACACTTGGTACAGCTGATAAAATTAGGTTGAGCAGCATACTTTCAGTAATTTGAAGCCCCTGGAACTTTGAAATAGTAGGAAGAATGATTTTAACAGAGTCAGACCTGAGCAACACCTGCAGAAGTGCAGGGCCTGATTCATGACCAAGGGAAGAAGTGTAGAGCTTCTGCTGACTCATGGAGACTTTGGATCAGCACCTTAACATTTCTCTGACATATTTACAGCTTCTTACAAATGATTGAATCCAGACCTGAAAATCTTGACTCTTCCTCTCACTTTTTTTTTTCTCTTGTATTTCACTGACATCAGGGACCTTTCGATTAAAGTTTGGAAACCCGAGTAATATCCCTCTCTGTCTTTTGATTCAACAGAAGCCTCTCCACGTTTGGGCTCAGGAGGATAAGGCAGGCGCAAATATCTTTCCTTTTTGCATGTTTTCAGCTGGTGCAGTCACTTAAGATTAATGAAAGATCAAAATAATTGCAAACTATAGCTTGATGTAGATTGCCAAGTATACATAAATTAGCTACATATAATTCAGCATTTCAAAGCAGATACCCTTATGGTAAAAATGACACGTTTTTATCTGGGTAAATAACTACAGCTGTACTCCATTTGCTTTGGGATTGCTCTGACAGCCCCAGGGTACAGAGAGCATGGAGCCTGGGTTCTTGAGAGAATCAGGATTTAGAGTATAAAAGGTGTATGACAGTGATAACAAAGTACAGCTGTGTAGCACATGCAATCAAGCACAACTACCTCTGTCTCGCAGTGAGCTGGTCTGAGCTGCTGGATCCACAGACCAGCTCATTCTGCTCCTCGGTAAGCTACCATTAATCATTGAGCATCCAAACCTATACATCTTCTTTCTGTGAACAAGGGTAACCTGGAACATGCTAGATCTCATCTACTTTTTAGCAGCACCCAGCAAGTCTTTCCTCCTCAGAGGCGTCTGCTCTCAGCTCCCATTGCTGGTGCTGCATTTCTTCTCACAGCATCACAGGATCCTTGATTTTCTATTTGCTTTCAAGAAGTTGTAATTTTTGTACAATCCATACAATAATATTTTCCTTGCCAATTATTTCTCCTCTGAATCCATCCTTTTGAAGTTTACATTTGATATGAACAAAGAATAATTTCCTCAGGGTCCAGGAAGCACCATTGTGTATGCAGACAGCATACAGTGTAAAAAATCTGAATTATTGTATTTCTTCGGCGGGCTGTTAGCAATTTGTTTTGTGTTTCAGACCCATCACACCCTCCAATGTTATATGGACTAAATTGGGAATACTGGGTCTCTCTGCTTAACAAAGTTTCAGCTGTCAATAAACCATTTTAAATACATTCCTCTCAAGTTTTGTGAAAGTATGGATCACTTCTCACCTTCACAAATTACTGAAACTGTTTTTCAATAGTTTTAACTCAGCTTGTAATTCAGGATATTTGAATTGTATGTCACGTCAAAATCCTTCATTCCATACAAATATTTTCTGGTCTGGGATGCTGAACAGTGCACCACTGCCAGACAAAATTTCTGGGAATCCATACTCTAACAGATTCAGCATGAGTATATGAAATAACACGCTCTGATGTTAAATTCAATCCAAATGCAATTTCAGGTTAATGCCCAAGTCGATTACTTACAACAGGTGCAGATGTACCAACATATGATGTTTTCTTTCACATTTTTAAAAGGTCTCATGAGCCTCCTGTACTCTGTGAGGCATATCAGGTCATAACATATTGACATCACTCTACTGTTTACCTCTAAACTGTAATGCCACTGAACGCAGAGAGCTCATCTGAGTTGGCTATGTGGGCTTGATGTGTAAT